GATATACTAAATCTCTTGTGCTCGCCTGCCCTGTAGGAGTAGCGTGTGTAATATCGAGTTGTAGCTAGCCGACGCATCTTTAACGCGCATCGTACTTCATACATTGGCAGAAAAACCCAAAGGAGTTGACGTAAGAGTGCGCTAGTGCATACAGAGATCCCATTTTTGGAAGCATCAAACCAACGATGATGATACCTCCAGTGTAGGAAGCGTGGCGTATAACGTGTGCCTTTCTGTTTTTCAATCTTCAGCGCCCCGCTTGTTTTAAAATTTGACCGCCGCTTGCAAGGCACACCAAAATGGCTGAATTTGAAGCTTTATTAGGCCTCTCCAGCAGCCTGTTTTGAATGCAATCCCTCAAACAAAGTTTATTGACGAAAGTCTTAAACATGAGTTTGCCGTCAGCCTTTCAAAACTCTTATACCTTGATTTTGCCAGATTGCTCGTTCTCCCGGGCCGAGGTCCTGACAAGCTTTCAACTGACTATATTTTCATTGTATCTTAAAGACATCTGAGATTTCGCACACACAGACTTCATCTGCATGACTTTCCCAAGACTTTCCCAAGAGATCGCGCGACAACGCGACAGACCTTCCCCATAAAACTTCACTCCTCAACAGAGTTAGGGCTTGCTTATCTAAGATAACAGAGAAACAAAGCCGATCTGAAAACGAATCTCCTCGATAAACCTCTGTAGAAGATTATTCAAGATCTCGCTCAAATATCGCGGCAAGAGTTGCGGCAAGAAACCTCAGGCAAATGCATTCTGAGGAGAGCTTAAAGAGAGATCTTCTGAAGAGAACTCGGTTACCCAGAGCTTTTCAGCAAACCATTAAACATTGTAAAAAAACTTCCTATAAGGGTTGAAATTTGGTGTGTGTGTGTGCAAGATTAGGCTGATACGGCTCACATAAAAGCTCCTAGTGCGGGATTGAGCCAAAAGTTGTTCAAAGAAAATTAGCACATGCCCCACCAATTCATGTGCATGTGAGTAAATCATTTTTTTCGGGCGCGTGAGTCACATCAGGTAGCCATGTTTTTGATACAAAAGCTTGAGACAGTTTGCTCGGGATTTGGGACCTCTGTATTACTGACCAAAGTTGGGTCTTTTGACCACTTCTTGGCTTCGCTTATTTGCTGATGTGTGTATCGGGTATGGTGGTATGTGAAGTATTGAATGTCTTCCCAGCTGCACCGGGGTCATGTCTTTTTTCACAATGGAACTTGAAACCAAGCGCTCAGTAATCAGAACCTTGTTGTTACTGACTAAACCTTTGTTTCTAGCCAAACTTTTGGCTTAAGCAAGGAGCTAGGTCAACCCCGCTGCAAGTCTTTCACGTTAACGGGTGAAGGACCATGAAAGATTTAGAACCTACATAATTTTGGTCAGAAAGCAGTTTGGCTATTTCTGAAGCGAAACAAGCCACCTATGTGGCATCAACTCTTGCTTAAACTTGATGGTCTGAAGTGTACATGACAATATCGATTCATATGCATTTTTATTCCATCCTGGTCGAGGGCCTTCCAGTAAATCTCCGATAAATCATAGCATGTCAATCCCTGCGTTGAGCTTAGGTAAAACCCACTTGGACAGGGACACCCGAGATCTCGCTCAACGCAAAGGCTTGGAACGGACGAATCATTTGCAGCTGGCTGGCGGAGACCATGAATCATGCTGCGCATGGGTATGATGTTGGGTATGATGATGGGCGGCTGACATTGGTTTGTTATGCCCTGAAACTTGGTTCAAGCTGCACTGTCTAAAGACCATTACATTGCTAGGCAGGCTGCACCACAGGAAGGTTCAAACAGGTAGCCTATATTCTTCGAAGAAACCCAGGTGTTGGACCATCATTTGACCCATGTGATATAGCGTAATCGAATCATAAATCATTTTTTGGATACAAGTCGTATCATATTGATGATATGTGAGATATGGAATGTATCAAGTGTTGTAGCTAATTTGAAATATATTTTTGGTTTCAACCTCTATAGCCCGACAACAGAACCAGTCCTGGCACATTGCCCGGCCGCTCAGGAAGTGCATGGCTAGGTTTTTCTGGCTTTGCGAAGCAAACCCACGAGAACTGTGCCTTGTACGTGCTGTATGAAACAGGAGGTTCACTTTGACATACCGATGCATAAATTAATATGCCCATCCTGGAGAACACAGCTGATGAAGATGTTCAAAACATATCCAGGGGCTAGGACGTACTCATTAATTCTCGGCTGGTGACTTGCCGGAACAAATTCTCAGGGGAAACGCCTGCAAAACACGACAGTCCATTTCCTTGATGAGACAACAGTATCTATCCATTGATCGATGATGATCGATGCATCTGTTGCGAATAATGGCTTGGTAATGATCATCATTTCAGTGTTGCAACATGTTGCTCTAGCTACCTGTGTATTTATAGCCTTGCAGATGGTGATCAGCAAAGCAAAGCTTCAACATGGGTTGCTGTGCAACTTGATAAAATATAATATATATACAAACATTACCTAGGTCGGCGCAAGCAGCTACCAGCATCTATGCAGAAGGACGTGGTTTCCTCAGAGCGTATCGCTCGCTCGCTGCTCTGAGCATCCGAAAGGGGATGCATACATTTCTACTCAAACCCAAGTTCCATGTGCCTTGGGCTATGTTGGGTTACCTATGTTACCTTGATTTTTCCAAGGTACCCACATTTTTAGACTAGTGTTTTTAGGTTAAACCTCGATCAATATAATACTTATTTGAATCTGCATGCTTTGGGTCATCACCATTTCAACCATGAGTGTCATGATTCACCTCCCAATTTGCATGAGGCCATGCTTCATATCCTGAGAGACGTTCGGCGTCTTCGATCCTTGAACTGATGTGGCGATGCGCAGGCGTTAGGCCCCTGGATGTGTTTCAACATGCATGCATGCAAATATATTATATATTATATTACCATATGGACGCATGCATTCGCTAATCTTATATCAAACTCGGGTGCCCGCATTGAAACGATTCATTGACATTCCAAGGCCGACCATGATTTTGTCTGGCATCGCTGGCATACTATGACTATGTATATAATTATCTTCAATAGATATTAAATTGATCATGATCATTATTATATGGTGCATTTATAGCATATATACCCTGGAAGTCAACCACACTAATAAATAGTTTTAGATAGTTTTAGACTTTTGTTTTTGGATGTTTGGGTTTGGGTAGGGGGTCAAAAGAAAGTTCGATTTCCATTTTCCAGTTTCAAATCCAACGCATTCCATCACCGGTTTTTGGCATGCATTGGCGTGGCAAACCATTCGGCGACCAAGGGAAAAATCCAAGATACTACCACACATATGCTGACGAGGACAGCATGAAGTGGGCAAAAGGCTGCTTGACAAGTCAAAGTATTTTGGGATAGTTAAGTGCACAAGGTTGTGGTCACAAGACTTAACTCAGTGCACTGCAGCTGGTTGTTGAATATTTCTGATCTAGCTATCATACCTTGGATCTCAGTGGCCCATGGCCCCTGTTTGGCCCAAGGCGTGGCAAAGTGGTCTACGAATCGCAACAAACGGGCTTCATGGATCTTGAAGTGCCAAAGGCTGAGGCCAGCTATGTTTTTTTGGGGCTGGTGAGTTCATGTTACGTGATTCATGCTGTTAACTTAGACATCAGCAACTGTGCGCCAGGCTGCTTTCCATGAAATACAAAATGGCCCAGTTCCTCGAATGCATAACATATCATACGATTGCCTTCGCTGATCATTGTCACGATCGATGGGTATCTCGGTTAATATCTGGATATTACTTAGATTGGGCGCATCTAAGGCTGAAGAGCCGCCAGTTTCGCTGATGATCGACCCGGCAAGCAAAAAGCGTCAACCATGCATGAGATATTATGAGATGCTTTAACCATCACATATGCAGAAAACCGTGGTTTGCAGGAAACCGTGGTTTGCGGACAGGTTTTGGGAAACCGTGGTTGCAGGAACGACATCCTAAAAAACCGTGGTTTGACTTCCAGGGTATATGAGCCGCCGCAAAAACCTCGGCAATACTAAATATGTATTGGACGGACATTGGTTTATGGAAATTGATGGAAATTGTTAAAAACACACGGTAAGCGATGGGACCTTCCCAAATTAGCGATACCCAAATTGGATGTTGATGTCTGTGAATTTTATATATATATATATATATATTATATTATACATGTAGCAGTTTCCTGCAAGCGATACCCCCCAAGTTTACCATACTGTATATCATTATTGTACAAACGTGTGGTAAGCGATGGGAGCTTCCCAAATTTGTGGATGTCCTTTCCGTGAACCTAGTGTTTTCGAGATTGCTCATATGTTCTGGCCATGATGTTTGGAATTCCGATGAGATGAATGAGTACAACATAGTACAACCCATAAAGACACTGTTTTGACCACGGCACCTGTGTTGCCCAGGCTGTGTCATGTGCAATGTGTTTGTCTATGGTACAGTTATCCCCACATTGACCGCAAATCTATTGAACAAGAACAGCCAAATGTTGAGGTCTGAGGTGCTACCCAAATTTGGCGCATACCTTGTTGTTGTATGATCGTGCTTACACACGTTTATCATTTTTTTATTGTTGCGAACAGCCAAATGTTGAGGCTTGAGGTGCTGCACAAATTTAGCGCATACCTTGTTGTTGTATGAATGTGCTTACACACTTTCTATTGTTGCCAGTCTTCTTGGTTCTGGACCCATGTCAAACCATCCATAAGTTTCAATTCAGCCCTGTTCCTGCTCAAAGATTGCTACCCTCCAGTAATCAAACGTGGCAATGGAAAATCCTCATCAATGGAGGTTTTAATGGGAAAATCATTGGTTGCCATGTTTGATTACCAGGGGGTAACCTATTTGTTTCCCAATGACGTAAGCCCAAAACACATTCAGCCATCCCTAAGCTGTAAAACTCATCTCGTGATGGGTTACATCCCATGAATTATTTCCCAGTCAGCTCCCCTTATAAGCTTGGGTTTACCATGGTTTACCACCTGATTCCTCTGGCTTCACCAATCCACCAGATTCGCAAATCGGCGCTGCTCATTGGCGCACATGGTGGGTCCCTGGCGAATGCCGTCTACGCGCGGCACGGCACAGGCGCTTGGGCCATGGCTAAAATGTGGATCAACATCTTGGGAAAAAGACACGCTGATTGCAGAGCCTTCATGAAAAAGGCCCCAAAGATTGATTGTTGTATAATAAATTCGACAAATACTATATTTTTTCAATAAAAAAACTAAAAACATGAATTGAACATTCCAAAGGATTGTTGGGATATCCTGTTGCCACTGGTTGCTAACGACGGTGATCAACGGGTAACGGTTACCATCACCCCCAACTTTAAGCCCCACATAGCCGGATAATGGGGGGTGCCTTGATTTAACGATATAAGTCCAAAGTCGTCCGTGTGGTAAACCTAAAAGTCTAAATGGTGTAAAGCGCACCCAATTTACAAAATGTTATGCATTCAGGCGGTATTGAAGCTCATGGCACTTGTAAAAACTTGTGAATACGTATGGCATCATTGGGTTTGCGACATTGACATTGCAATCCCGAAAAAGTAACTTCAAATATCTTCAAATGCATTGTTCACCTCCATTTCTGGAGTTCCACCTTACTTTTTAGGGGCGTGTGTTCGCCCTCCTCCGGACATAGATGAACCTTCCAACATTTTACAGGACTGAGCCATCCCCATTTGAGACAGCATCACAACGCTTTGAGCATATCATGGATTTGACCGGTAAGCCTGGGTTTGTTCCCCACCTGCCAGGTGAGGGTTGTTAGATTTTATCAGAGTTGTTCTTCTCCTTCTCCTTCTTCTTCTCCTCCTCCTTCTCCTCCACCTCCTCCTCGTCCTCCTCCTTCTCCTCCACCACCTCTGCCTCCACTTCCATGTTCACTTCCGCCTTGCCAACTCTTCGCCAAGCTCTTCGCCAACTTCCGCACGCAGTGGGCACTGCTGGACCTCAACTGCAAGGGTCTGAGCGCACTGGGCACCGCTGGACCTCAACCTAGGACCTTCCGAGCTCAGTGAGCACCGCTGGACCTCAACCTGGGACCGTCCGAGCTCAGTGAGCACCGCTGGACCTCAACCTGGGACCCTCCGAGCTCAGTGAGCACCGCTGGACCTCAACCTGGGAGAGCACCGCTGGACCTCAGCCTGGGACCTTCCGAGCTCAGTGAGCACCACGGGACCTCAACGGCCAGATAGAATGCCAGAAGATATGCCAGATAGAACGCCAGATAGCATGTCAGATAGAATGCCAGAAGGTATGCCAGATAGAACGCCAGATAGAATGTCAGATAGAATGCCGGAAGATATGCCAGATAAAATGCCACAAGATATGCCAGATAGAATGAGTTCTGATATGCCAGATAGAATGCCACAAGGTATGCCAGATAAAGTGCCAGAATGTTTGCCAGATAGAATGCCACAAGATTTGCCAGATAGGATGTCAGAAGATATGCCAGAAGATATGCCAGATAGAATGCCAGAACATATGCCAGGTAGAATGCCAGAAGATATGCCAGATAGAATGCCAGAAGATATGTCAGATAGAATGCCAGAAGATTTGCCATTAACAAAACGTATAAATGTCATGGTGGGGATCACTCGAAGTAAAGTAATTGGCCTCGTAGATTTTATATGAGTTTATAACCTTTTTGGAGTAGCCGGGTAGCCAATTCAAATTACATAGTTTGGAACAAACAATTAATAAACAATCCCCAGCTTCACCAGAAGTGCCAAAATTGAAAGTGTACTATCGGGCTTATACCACATCCTGCCAAAAGATACCCCGCAATAGTGAGCTCTCCTGGCGCTTTGCCAGGTATCATCGAGATTGTGAACAGCCCCGAGGCTCACAATGAGACCGAGTCAGGAGCCGCTTTTGGAAGTCGTGGTGGGCAACATGGCTTCGCTTTGGGATCCATCACTTCATAGGGATCATGAAGCAACATGCCAGGGCGTGCTTGGTAGCCTAGCGGTTGCCGTTCGAGTTATACAGGATGTTATAGGATATTTTGTTGGTGGATATATCACCAATATTCACCAATACAGTATGGGATCCTGATA